GCTCCCTCCTCCCAGGTTTCCCCCTCCCACCTCCTTCCCTCTCCCGCCTCCTTTCCCCAGTCTCACCAGAGTTTCATTTCTCCCCCCACCCCATTTTGTTAAATAAAGAGAGTTTGTGTTTATGAAAAAACACGTATGTTATTTTACATCAGAAAGGAGGACTGGGGGAGGGGTAAGTGGAAGGACATGAGGGAGGAATGAGGCATAAGCCACCAGTGGGGCAGACCAGGGAGGCTCTTAGTGCTCCTCAGGGTAGACGCTCTCCTGCTGGGCCTCCTGGATACTGACAGCCCCCCGATGGACCTCCTGGATGGCAGCCTGCAGAAAGTGCAGCCTGGCTCACAGCAATGTGTGCAAGATGGCCACCAGCAAAAAAAAAGCCTCTTCTTAAAGGGGCCATACTGATTTTTTTATTGTTTTATTTTTTTCAAAATACTTTGCTGTCCCTCATGGAGGTAGGCAAGCAAGCAGGGAAACCTGAGAACCAGCTGTCCAGTGGGGTTCCTTTAAGCACAGACCTCAGATAGCCTCAGGCAGCAGCCACACAAAGTAACTCCTGACCTGATGCCCTGCCGCACCTGGCACTTAAATGTAATTCAGTGTCCAGTCAGTGTGGACACGCTACTTCAAAATGCATTTTGTGTGTGGACGCGTTATTTCAAAATAAGCTATTTTGAATTAACTATTTTGAAATAACGCTGTAGCATAGACATATCCTTACTGAGTGTCCCTCTGCCACAGAGAGAGGTTATGTGTTTCCTTTAACCGCTCCCATTTCCCCCCCCCCTTTTTTTTACAGCTGCTTTTTAATAAATTGTATTTGCTTTGAACTGCACTATGATCAGTGCATCAGAGAAGCGTGCAGAGAGAGCATCCCAGAGGCAGGACACCCTAGTTCCTGTCCTATGTGACCACAGCTAGGTTGGGGCTCAAACCTCCCAGGAATCCTGGGCCCAGCCTTGAGTACTCTGCCACACAGGAGAGTGGAAAGGGAGCCCTCGAGGTCAGGCAGGTCCCTGAGCAAAGGGAGTTGGAGTGAGGTGCCGGATACTTTCGGAAGCCTGGAAAGATGATGGGAGCATTCCCCTGCTTGCACATCCTCATCTCTCTCTCTGCCTGTCATTGAGAGAATGATGTGCGTGTGCGACTGATGCACTATATTCCCAGTGGAGGCCCCCTTTAGTAGAGGGGATCTGAACTTCATTGGGACTATACCTCCCATGATGCCTTGGGGTGGGGGGAGGGAGAGAGAGATCCACGTCAGGGAATGCAGAGAGAACATGCAATGGGCTGCAGCTAGGAAGGAGCTGAGATTGTTTAATGGAGCTGTGTCCAGGCCAGAAGCTGCCTTTAAAAAGCCAGAAACTGCTGAAAGCCTGCTGGGGCTTTGATGAAGCAGGGAGCCTCAGACGCCACCATGGGCTTCCCAGGAGCCAGAGCAGAGATGGTTGCTTTGCCCAGAACTGTCTAAGACGGGCTAGAGGGAAGGCAGTGTGAGTATCCACTGGCCTCTTTTGAGAAGGTGCTTGCAAGGGGAGGCCCATCAAAGAGACTGCCAAGAAGTTGTCCTGAGAAGAGGTGAGTTGTCATCTGACCAAAATCCGGAGTTGCTTACGCCTGGTGAAAACAATCCCAATTTTCGGAGGAACTGTGTAGCTTAGGTTGATGCCAAATTTTCTGTCCCTTGTTGCCTTGAATGGTCAGATTTAGTGGACCAACAGAGTGCTGTCCTCAGCTTCGTGATTTTTAAGTGCACCCATACAAACAAGGATTTATAATTCTGAAATCTAGAGTTGTACATGTTCTGAGGTGGGGTAAATGATGGCAGTGTAAATGCAAGTTAGATACATTTCATTTAGTACTGTAAACTGTATTTATGGATTTATTGAACTGCTGATTTAAATTAGTTGTGACATTTAATCTCAGGTTACATCTACACTACCCTGGGGATCTACGTTCTGAGGCTGATCCACTGATGGATCTAGTAAATGTAGTTAGATGGATTTACTGCCATGGTGTCGTCACAGGTCTCTGGCTCTGTCTCAGAAGGCTGCTTGTATGTGTGCTCAATGATGTGGGCACAATGACCACAGCAGACCCCAAGAGGGCCCCCAAAGACCACAAACCACAGAAGGATCGAAGGTGCCAGGCCAGGTTTATTGTTAAGCCAAGTACAGTAATAGTTGTCAGTAGGCTCTACTGAACCAGTACGCATATGTACTTGCCACAATGGAATGACTGAGTCAGTGGGACATTTCCACTGCCCCCAGGTCATACAAAGGCTGTCCCCCCAAGACACCACTTTATATACAGGTACAAATAAGTCACACCTCACTGTTGATGTGTCAGGTTGCCCTCTGACATTGTCAGGTTATCATCCATCACCCTGTACCTCGTGGTTTAATTAGACCATCTCTATCCATCATGCTGTCATTCTAGACCCTTTCCTGAACCTGGGTCTGTATCTGTGGGGAGTGGGTACCAAGGTCTTTTTTAATGAGCTGGTGGTACCATGTGATTTCAATTTATGACAGTGCCAATTACTGTTCTACACCTGGGCCCATTACCAATTAGCATTTTGCTCTCTCGTGACAAGTTCTGTGAGCAGGGGCCTGTCTCTTGCTCACAGCTTAGCTTTGCTTTATGTTGGCCATGTTTTGTCCATTGTTGGCTAGGCCTCAGGCCTCAAACCAGGCCTGTGCTGCATAGGCTTATGTTTTAGGCCTTCATCTTACTACAGCAAAGACCTGCCAAACCAACCTCAGTTTGCTCTCCCGTCAACCCTGTTACTCTACTCCAGACAAGAAGAGTAAGGGAAGTCAACAGAATGTGGACCTCTCCATAGTATACAGCAGGCATGTCAAACTCGAAACCTACTGAGGGCCACACAAATAAAAACTGATAGCTTTCAGGGCCACCAAAGAAAATGTACTTCTATCAGAAAGTCATAATTATTTATTATTATAGATTATGTTTTAGATACATTTTATAATTTTTCAGGTCTTGTTTTAATATAATACAATAATTTGATATGTAAAATTATTATTTGCCCATATAAAATAATTTTTAATTTAAATATAAATTTAAGGTACTTTAATTTTTTATATGATACATTACTTGTTTTGTTGAAATAAAAACAAGTACAGACTGCGGTTAATCAAATAGAACAGGCTTCCGTGAAAATTTCAGATACTTTATAAGTTTGAGATTTTGCATGAACATATATTCACGCAATTGCAAAAAATTGACACATATTTATTTATATAAAATATACATTTTGTGATTTTATTTGGAAATAAATAAAAACCAAAATATTAACAAAATATCCCCCTCCTCTTCCCCAGAGCCAGGCACTCCCATATTCCTGTTCTAAACCAATCCCCCTCCGCTCCTCCAGAGTCCCCCCTGCTCTAACCCAATGCTTCCCACTCCCCCAGAGTCAGGCCCCCCAGACCTTTCCTAATCTAATGCCTCCCCACATCCCCAGAGCCAGGCATGCCCAACCTAATGCCTCCTCTCTCCCTCAGAGCCATCCCCCTTAACCTAATGCCTGGGTCCTGGAGCCTCTGCTGCCACCACACATTTTTTCCTCATGAACTGGGGCAGCGTGAGCACAAAGGCCAGCTGTGAGCAGGTGCTTGATGCCTGTGCAGAGTGGCAAGCCGGCTGTGAGCACGTGCTGGGGCGCCAAGTGCAAAGTGTCCTGGCTGGCCGTTAGCAGTTGCTGCGGCACCATGTGCAGAGCAACCCAGCCAGCTGAGAGCAGTCACTGCGGTGCAGCGTGCAGAGTGGCCGGTCGGCCAGCTGTGATCTGCTCTTGGTCACGTGCTCCGAGCGGCCAGCAGGCCACGCTTTATTCTTTTATGAAAATGTAGTATTTCGGTTAGGCCACATGCGGCCCACCAGAGGCCTGTTTGGCATGCCTGGTATAGAGCCTGTAGTAAAGTGACTTAAGGTATGTCACCTTATTCATGTAGCTGGAGTTGCATAGACTTAAGTTGACTTTCTGCTGCAGCATGGATGTAGCCTCAGTCTGTAATGGCATGTTTTCTTAAATTGTTAAGTAAAGGAGAGTTAACGCTAAGTGTATATTAAGGCTACGTCTACACTTCAGGCTTCTTGCACAATAACAACCGTTCTTGCGCAAAAACTTGCGGAGTGTCTACACTGCACACATGTTCTTATGCAAGTAAATTTACAGTAAAGTGTCAGAAAAGAGGGCTTCTTGCGCAATAGTTATTCCTCTCCCCATGAGGAGTAAGCCCTCTTGCTCAAGAGCTCTTGCGCAAGAAGGCAGTGTGGATGGCCCTCCTGCTTATCTCGTTCTGCAGGGGCTTGTCTTGTGCCTGGAACAGAAAAACAAGATGGCAGAAAGTGCAGCCTGGCTCACAGCAATGTGTGCAAGATGGCCACCAGCAAAAAAAAGCCTCTTCTTAAAGGGGCCATACTGATTTTTTTATTGTTTTATTTTTTTTTTAATCTTTTATTTTATTTTTATTAATAACTGCTGCCGGGGTCCTTTTTTTTTTGCTCAACAACTTTGGTCTCCCCCTTTTTTTTTCCCCTGTGGTTTTTTTGGGGGAGAGGGGTGTTCGGTATTTTTGGTTAAACCATCTGGCAACCCTACAAGCCAGCGTTGCCTGCTTTGGACTAACTCAGGAAGGAAAAGGGTGGTGAGGTGAGAGAGGGACGTTATGCAAGTAATGTAGTTTATAACTGCTCTACTTCTACCAGTGGTGGAGGGAGGCGAGGTCAGCTTGGCCCAGTGGCCAATTACAGGAGAGGGAGTAGATGTGAAGGGTTGCAGGGTTGGGTGGAGGCACAGGCACAAAGGCCAGGCAGTGCTTGGTGAAAGCAGGTACAGGGCAGGGGAGGAATGGAGCTAGAGCAGGATGTTCCCTGAAATTAACTTGGAAATGTTGATCGGTAGGCTGGGTTCTCTAATCTCTAATGTTTCTGTTATCAGGATAGAAACTGAAAGTAACACAAGACACAGTCTGGGAAGCTGTAGGAAAAGCCATGGCCACTGGCTGGAACAGAGGTAAAGACTGTGTGTGTATGTTATGTAAATATGTGTGTGTGTGTGTGTATTAATACAGACTATATTAATTTATGGGCATATGTATGTTTGTGTGTTTTTATGGCTGTTGTGAATCTATGTATCTAATATATAAAGGAGAATGTTTGTATGTTTGTGCGCTAATAACTTGGACACTATAAGAGCTACCACAACCAAACTTTGCATGGGATAACTTTTCCTCCAGGAGAAGGGTTTAAGGTACAGTGGGAGGGAAGAGATGAGAGACTGATGCCTCTCCCTGGGGCTGCATGGAGCTTGGCAGTGCTGGGAGAAGCGGCTTCCCCAGGGGAAGTGGCGGGGACAGTCTCTCACTAAGGCTGGCGGAGGGATAACCTTTCATCCAGGAGAAGGTTTAAGGGACTGTGGGAGGGAAGAGATGGGAGACCAACACCTCTCCCCGGGGCTGCACGGAGCTTGGCAGTGTGGGGAAAAGCGGCTTCCTGGGGGAAGTGGCAGGGACAGTCATTCACTAAGGCCAGCGGAGGGACAAGGAAGCAGAGGGCGGGCTTGGGTGCCGGCGGCAGGCGCGCAGTTCCCTTCCCCCTCCCTCCTCTGAGCAACGCCGGGTAATTCCAGCTAGTATAATATATAGTTAATACCTCCAGTCTGTCTATTTCTGTGAGTTTATTTATACCCAGGGCTCGACAATTAGTGTGATATACTCGCCTGTGGTGAGTAGATTACAAGCCGGCACAGCTGCGCCGTGCGGTCAGCGCACAAGCAGTGTGCCAAACTGCACAGCTGGTGAGTGGGGCTCACCACTGCTTGGCGAGCCCTGTTTATACCCATACTGTAATTTTAGTTACTAATGTTTTAATGAAGATAAAGTCACTGACAATAAAATGATTTTCTTGCCTAAATGCCAAATGAATGTTTCTTACCAAAACAAAAATGAGAGAACAAATGATGAGAGTAGAGACCAGCTAGGTGACATATTACAAAAAAGGTACATGTACAAAGTGAAAGCGAGGGATGTTAGCTAGCGTGTCATTGAACAGTTGCATAACTGCACGAAATCTTAGTGGTTACACAACTATTCAAGGGTCCCCGGGGGCAGGACCTGCAGCCAGGGTGCTCCACCCCACTCCTGAGGAGCCCCCTGCCACTCTGCACTGCTGCCTCTTGATCAGGCAGGTGGGAACTGGCCTGCCAGAGAGCCTGCTTCCCACACAGACTGGTTCCCAGAACGGTTCCCAGAAAAATGATAGAGATGGCTGTGTGTGTGTAGAGGGGAGGCGGGAGGTGCACCACAGAGCTGGTGCTGGGGGGCTTTTAAGATTAACGGATAAGCTCAGTTAAAACAATGATTTATTAAAAATTAGTATATCCTATTGGACCCATCTTCCCGCAGACAGCTCAGATTTTGTGTGTCAATGTCTGTATGGGCTTCTTTATATTAGAAAATGTATAAATAGTTACACTAGTGCAAGCTTTTTTATAGGCACTGCATGTGTTCTTTCTGGGCCTGATTCAAAGTCCACTGAAGTCAAAGGGACTCTCTTCACTGATTTCAATGGGCTCTGGATCAGGCCTTAGCTGAGTATGTGTCTGGGCATGTCTGGGCAAGTGGGCTCTCAGATCTGAGTTGAAAATAGTCGAGTCATGAAAATGACAGACTAGAAAGTGTTGATAAAGGAATTTTAAAGATACACTAACTCCTGGTGCTGAGGAGGAAATTAAAAGTTTAAAAGTGCCCTGTGCAATTTGCTCTCAGTGTTCCCATCCCATGTGTCACGGGGTAGACTCACCAGCATGGCGCCTTCAGCTGGTTGCTTTGGGGAATTAGCTTGTTGTTTCTTTGGGCACCTTCCTCCAGCTGGTATCTCCCTGTGTCCTTCTTTATCCATGGTGTCCGCTTCAGGACACTGCCCTCCGGCAGTGCCCACTCCAGTCTCTCTGCACTCCCTCCCAGGGGTGTTGTTTACTCCACTGCACACTCCAAGGTCCTCCCTTCTCCCAGGTACCCCAGTTCTTCTCCCCAGGAACACCCAGGTCCCCTGCACCCACCTTGCCTCAGTGACCCACTGTCAGTCTTCATCTAGGCCCTGCCTCCGGGGCAGACTGCAGTCTGTAATAGCCACTCATCACTGGCAAAGAGGTGTGGACCTGCTGCCCCTGCCTACCATAGCTGCCCCTCGCAACCCCAGTAGCTTCAGACCTTGCAGCCTGGGTAGGGTTGCCAGGTGTCCGGTATTCTCCTGGACAGTCGGTATTTTCATCTCCTGTCCAGTAAAAAAATTTGGAAAATACCGGACACCTAAGATGTCCAGTATTTTCTGACTTTTTTCCCCAGCCAGGAGACGAAAATGCCGGGCATCTGGCAACCTTACAAACACTCATCGCCTGGCCTCCCCTCCCCCGAACACCCCCAGCCCCTCAACCCCATGCTTACCTGGTTCTGCAAGGCTGCTGGCACAAAGACCAAGGGGAAGCAATGACTCCCCTCGGTCTTAATGTTCAACCGCTCTCCTGTTCCTATCTCTGCACTCACTCTTAAAGAGGACATGCAGTTTGAATGCTGTGTTATCTTATTTTTCTTTTCTTTTTTTTCTCTCAACAACTTTGGTCTTCCCTCCCTTTTTTTTCTTCAACAGAATTTTTTCCCGGTGTTTTTTTTTGGGGGGGGGAGGGGCAGGTGTTCGGTATTTTTGTTTCAACCATCTGGCAGCCCTAAGCCCGGGGGCTTACTTGGCCAGAGCCTCCCCAGCCCTGCCTTCTTTCCCCAGCTCTGCTCTGCTCTGCCACCAGGAAGCCTCCCGCTTTCCTGCAGGGCTGGCCTTACCATGAGGCAGGCATCATTTGAGCTTCCTATTTCAGGTGCCAAAATGTTGTGGGCCTGCCCTGCTTCCCTAGCAGTCAGGACCCTACTGCTCTCCAGCCAGAGCAGCCCTCAGTTTGTCAGTTCTTCCCTCACTCCAGGAATCCTTCCTTATATAGCCCCCAGCTGGGAGCTCGTTAGCAAAGCTGCCTCAGCTGGGGCTTCACTCTATTTTGCCTTTAAAGGGCCAGTGCAGGGCAAACGCCCTGTCACACCATGTCAATCCTGTTTTGTCTCCTCAGGTTGTCAATGCAAATAACAAAGAATGGTTATTTTATTCCAGAACAGAAGCAACCTGAGCATATCGCCTGATAAATCTCCATTTAAAAACATTATTATGAATGTTATTTCCAAACATATTACTGGCAGCAACCACATTTTCAAATAAACTAAATGTTTAAAAAAAAAGAAAGGAAAGAACAGTTATTTGGTCATAGATAGGCTCTTACAGTTGTAAATGACAATTTGAGGGCTTGAGTCCCATTGATTTCAATGAACGTTGAATCATGTTTTATATATAATTATTAATATTGTTTTTGTGGTTATTATTAATAATATTTTTCACTTTTCCATAGCAAGTAATGGTTCTTCTCCATCACTCTCACATGATTAATTTAATGGTCATATTGGGGGCTAGGATGATCCCTTATCCACCTCCACCAGTCCCAAGATACTGCATGTTAGCAGACAGGGAGTAGCTTTCCTCAGGAGTACTGAATAGAAATTGCCCATTGTGAATGAACAATTGTAGGTCACAAGATCCCTGGGAAGATGCATTGGGAGGCTTCACTTTTTTTGACGTCTCTTGTGTCTCTGCTCAAAATAGGCAAGATCAAAGCAGACTGAAGAGCTTCAAAAGGATCTCACAAAACTAGGGGATTGGGCAACAACATGGCAGATGAATGTTAATGTTGATCAATGCAAAGTAATTCACATTGGAAAACATAATCCCAGTTATATGTACAAAATGATGGGGACTAAGTTATCTCTTACCACTCAAGAGCGAGATCTTGGAGTCATTGTGGATAGTTCTCTGAAAACATCTCCTCCAGCTGGTATCTCCCTGTGTCCTTCTTTATCCATGGTGTCCGCTTCAGGACACTGCCCTCCGGCAGTGCGAAGAGATGGAGAATAAGACAGAAAAGATCTTATTGCCTCTTTATAAATCTATGGTACACCAACACTTGAATACTGCGTACAGATGTAGTCGTTCCCTCCCAGGGGTGTTGTTTACTCCACTGCACACTCCAAGGTCCTCCCTTCTCCCAGGTACCCCAGTTCTTCTCCCCAGGAACACCCAGGTCCCCTGCACCCACCTTGCCTCAGTGACCCACTGTCAGTCTTCATCTAGGCCCTGCCTCCGGGGCAGACTGCAGTCTGTAATAGCCACTCATCACTGGCAAAGAGGTGTGGACCTGCTGCCCCTGCCTACCATAGCTGCCCCTCGCAACCCCAGTAGCTTCAGACCTTGCAGCCTGGGTAGGGTTGCCAGGTGTCCGGTATTCTCCTGGACAGTCGGTATTTTCATCTCCTGTCCAGTAAAAAAATTTGGAAAATACCGGACACCTAAGATGTCCAGTATTTTCTGACTTTTTTCCCCAGCCAGGAGACGAAAATGCCGGGCATCTGGCAACCTTACAAACACTCATCGCCTGGCCTCCCCTCCCCCGAACACCCCCAGCCCCTCAACCCCATGCTTACCTGGTTCTGCAAGGCTGCTGGCACAAAGACCAAGGGGAAGCAATGACTCCCCTCGGTCTTAATGTTCAACCGCTCTCCTGTTCCTATCTCTGCACTCACTCTTAAAGAGGACATGCAGTTTGAATGCTGTGTTATCTTATTTTTCTTTTCTTTTTTTTCTCTCAACAACTTTGGTCTTCCCTCCCTTTTTTTTCTTCAACAGAATTTTTTCCCGGTGTTTTTTTTTGGGGGGGGGAGGGGCAGGTGTTCGGTATTTTTGTTTCAACCATCTGGCAGCCCTAAGCCCGGGGGCTTACTTGGCCAGAGCCTCCCCAGCCCTGCCTTCTTTCCCCAGCTCTGCTCTGCTCTGCCACCAGGAAGCCTCCCGCTTTCCTGCAGGGCTGGCCTTACCATGAGGCAGGCATCATTTGAGCTTCCTATTTCAGGTGCCAAAATGTTGTGGGCCTGCCCTGCTTCCCTAGCAGTCAGGACCCTACTGCTCTCCAGCCAGAGCAGCCCTCAGTTTGTCAGTTCTTCCCTCACTCCAGGAATCCTTCCTTATATAGCCCCCAGCTGGGAGCTCGTTAGCAAAGCTGCCTCAGCTGGGGCTTCACTCTATTTTGCCTTTAAAGGGCCAGTGCAGGGCAAACGCCCTGTCACACCATGTCAATCCTGTTTTGTCTCCTCAGGTTGTCAATGCAAATAACAAAGAATGGTTATTTTATTCCAGAACAGAAGCAACCTGAGCATATCGCCTGATAAATCTCCATTTAAAAACATTATTATGAATGTTATTTCCAAACATATTACTGGCAGCAACCACATTTTCAAATAAACTAAATGTTTAAAAAAAAAGAAAGGAAAGAACAGTTATTTGGTCATAGATAGGCTCTTACAGTTGTAAATGACAATTTGAGGGCTTGAGTCCCATTGATTTCAATGAACGTTGAATCATGTTTTATATATAATTATTAATATTGTTTTTGTGGTTATTATTAATAATATTTTTCACTTTTCCATAGCAAGTAATGGTTCTTCTCCATCACTCTCACATGATTAATTTAATGGTCATATTGGGGGCTAGGATGATCCCTTATCCACCTCCACCAGTCCCAAGATACTGCATGTTAGCAGACAGGGAGTAGCTTTCCTCAGGAGTACTGAATAGAAATTGCCCATTGTGAATGAACAATTGTAGGTCACAAGATCCCTGGGAAGATGCATTGGGAGGCTTCACTTTTTTTGACGTCTCTTGTGTCTCTGCTCAAAATAGGCAAGATCAAAGCAGACTGAAGAGCTTCAAAAGGATCTCACAAAACTAGGGGATTGGGCAACAACATGGCAGATGAATGTTAATGTTGATCAATGCAAAGTAATTCACATTGGAAAACATAATCCCAGTTATATGTACAAAATGATGGGGACTAAGTTATCTCTTACCACTCAAGAGCGAGATCTTGGAGTCATTGTGGATAGTTCTCTGAAAACATCAGGTCAATGTGCAGTGGCAGTCAAAAAAGCAAACAGAATGTTAGGAATCACTGAAGAAGAGATGGAGAATAAGACAGAAAAGATCTTATTGCCTCTTTATAAATCTATGGTACACCAACACTTGAATACTGCGTACAGATGTAGTCGTCTCATCTCAAAAAAGATATTGGCATTGGAAACAGTTTAGAAAAGGGCAACAAAAATTATTAGGGGTTTGAAACAGCTGCCATATGAAGAGAGACTGAGAATTTTCAGCTTAAAAAAGAAGAGACTAAAGGGGGATATGATAGAGGTCTATAAAATCAAGACTGGTGTGGAAAAAGAGAATAAGGAAAAGTTATTTATTTGTTTCCATAATATAAAAACTTGGGGTCACCAAATGAAATGAATAGGTAGCAGGTTTAAAACAAACAAAAGGAAGTATTTCTTCATGCAGCACACAGTCAATCTGTGGAACTCCTTGACAGAGGATGTTGTGAAGATCAGGACTTTAATAGAGTTCAAAAAAGAGCTGTTAGCCTGGATAGGTAGGAATGAAGTCCTTAGCCTCTATTTGTCTGAGGCTGGGAATGGATGACAGGAGAGGGACAACTTGATGATTACTTGTTCTGTTCATTCCCTCTAAAGGCACCTGGCATTGTCTGGCAACCTTACAAACACTCATCGCCTGGCCTCCCCTCCCCCGAACACCCCCAGCCCCTCAACCCCATGCTTACCTGGTTCTGCAAGGCTGCTGGCACAAAGACCAAGGGGAAGCAATGACTCCCCTCGGTCTTAATGTTCAACCGCTCTCCTGTTCCTATCTCTGCACTCACTCTTAAAGAGGACATGCAGTTTGAATGCTGTGTTATCTTATTTTTCTTTTCTTTTTTTTCTCTCAACAACTTTGGTCTTCCCTCCCTTTTTTTTCTTCAACAGAATTTTTTCCCGGTGTTTTTTTTTGGGGGGGGGAGGGGCAGGTGTTCGGTATTTTTGTTTCAACCATCTGGCAGCCCTAAGCCCGGGGGCTTACTTGGCCAGAGCCTCCCCAGCCCTGCCTTCTTTCCCCAGCTCTGCTCTGCTCTGCCACCAGGAAGCCTCCCGCTTTCCTGCAGGGCTGGCCTTACCATGAGGCAGGCATCATTTGAGCTTCCTATTTCAGGTGCCAAAATGTTGTGGGCCTGCCCTGCTTCCCTAGCAGTCAGGACCCTACTGCTCTCCAGCCAGAGCAGCCCTCAGTTTGTCAGTTCTTCCCTCACTCCAGGAATCCTTCCTTATATAGCCCCCAGCTGGGAGCTCGTTAGCAAAGCTGCCTCAGCTGGGGCTTCACTCTATTTTGCCTTTAAAGGGCCAGTGCAGGGCAAACGCCCTGTCACACCATGTCAATCCTGTTTTGTCTCCTCAGGTTGTCAATGCAAATAACAAAGAATGGTTATTTTATTCCAGAACAGAAGCAACCTGAGCATATCGCCTGATAAATCTCCATTTAAAAACATTATTATGAATGTTATTTCCAAACATATTACTGGCAGCAACCACATTTTCAAATAAACTAAATGTTTAAAAAAAAAGAAAGGAAAGAACAGTTATTTGGTCATAGATAGGCTCTTACAGTTGTAAATGACAATTTGAGGGCTTGAGTCCCATTGATTTCAATGAACGTTGAATCATGTTTTATATATAATTATTAATATTGTTTTTGTGGTTATTATTAATAATATTTTTCACTTTTCCATAGCAAGTAATGGTTCTTCTCCATCACTCTCACATGATTAATTTAATGGTCATATTGGGGGCTAGGATGATCCCTTATCCACCTCCACCAGTCCCAAGATACTGCATGTTAGCAGACAGGGAGTAGCTTTCCTCAGGAGTACTGAATAGAAATTGCCCATTGTGAATGAACAATTGTAGGTCACAAGATCCCTGGGAAGATGCATTGGGAGGCTTCACTTTTTTTGACGTCTCTTGTGTCTCTGCTCAAAATAGGCAAGATCAAAGCAGACTGAAGAGCTTCAAAAGGATCTCACAAAACTAGGGGATTGGGCAACAACATGGCAGATGAATGTTAATGTTGATCAATGCAAAGTAATTCACATTGGAAAACATAATCCCAGTTATATGTACAAAATGATGGGGACTAAGTTATCTCTTACCACTCAAGAGCGAGATCTTGGAGTCATTGTGGATAGTTCTCTGAAAACATCAGGTCAATGTGCAGTGGCAGTCAAAAAAGCAAACAGAATGTTAGGAATCACTGAAGAAGAGATGGAGAATAAGACAGAAAAGATCTTATTGCCTCTTTATAAATCTATGGTACACCAACACTTGAATACTGCGTACAGATGTAGTCGTCTCATCTCAAAAAAGATATTGGCATTGGAAACAGTTTAGAAAAGGGCAACAAAAATTATTAGGGGTTTGAAACAGCTGCCATATGAAGAGAGACTGAGAATTTTCAGCTTAAAAAAGAAGAGACTAAAGGGGGATATGATAGAGGTCTATAAAATCAAGACTGGTGTGGAAAAAGAGAATAAGGAAAAGTTATTTATTTGTTTCCATAATATAAAAACTTGGGGTCACCAAATGAAATGAATAGGTAGCAGGTTTAAAACAAACAAAAGGAAGTATTTCTTCATGCAGCACACAGTCAATCTGTGGAACTCCTTGACAGAGGATGTTGTGAAGATCAGGACTTTAATAGAGTTCAAAAAAGAGCTGTTAGCCTGGATAGGTAGGAATGAAGTCCTTAGCCTCTATTTGTCTGAGGCTGGGAATGGATGACAGGAGAGGACCACAAGATTTACAGACAAAGTGGGAGCTGGGAAGATTCAGAATTTGCTTCCTGCTCATCAGTGTGATACCAGATTTAACTCTCCTTTTTCCCTGCCTCTCTTACTTCCTCTCCCCCTGCATAGCTCTCTCTGTGTCACTTTCTATCTTTCTCTATGTGTGCCTCCTCCCCATACTCACACTTTTAACTTGCTGCAACTGACAAGCTCTTAGTGATAACCCTGCAGACAGTCACTACTTGGGGGTATGTCTACACTACCCCCCTAGTTTGAACTAGGGGGGTAATGTATGCATACCGAACTTGCTAATGAAGCCCGGGATTTGAATTTCCCGGGCTTCATTAGCATAAAGCCGGCTCCGCCATTTTTAAAAGCTGGCTTGTTCGAGCCCCGTGCCACGCGGCTACACGCGGCTACACGTGGAACGAGGCGTACAGATAGATCGGAATGGCTACATAGTTCGAACTATCTAGCCCGTGCCACGTGTAGC